CTAGACTATAGACTAGACTATAGACTAGACTATAGACTAGACTATAGACTAGACTATAGACTTGACTATAGACTAGACTATAGACTTGACTATAGACTAGACTATAGACTTGACTATAGACTTGACTATAGACTAGACTATAGACTTGACTATAGACTAGACTATAGACTTGACTATAGACTAGATTATAGACTATACTATAGACTATACTATAGACTAGACTCTAGACTAGACAGTTTAGCGAGAAGACTTGGCAGACCCTTAAAATTTTCCTGCTCTATTTTGAAGTACAGATCGCGACAGAGACTTGTACCCTGACATGTGTCCAATCAGTCAGTGGCCAGTAATTCTTACCAACTGCTATCAAGAGACCATGGTATGCTCCTTTTATGTTAAAGACAGGGTCAGAGCATGTCGGATATTCTGCAAGTGGTACAACTTCTGCTTTACTGTTGCTTCTAACTTGTTTGATCGGACATTTGATCAGACAGTCCAGATTACGACAAAGACATGTACCAACATATCTCAGTCAGGTTAAATGTGTAATCCCCATTTTATAATGACTGTTATGTGGGCAGCCCTTACGATATGACATATGTCCAATCATACAGTCCTTAGTAAGTCTTGCGAATTTCTATTAGGGATTAGAAAATTAAGGTCCGTTTGTGTGAAATAGAGGCGCAGAGCATTTCAGATATTCTGCAAGTGGCAACAGTGGACCACTAATGTTACAATTATGCCTATTCATCGATACCGTTCGATATATAGCGTAATTGTAACCAATTTCATTTCGCAGAATACTTTTATGTTCTGATACTCATATGAGTTCGACAGAGTGTCATCTAAGTTTACTAAGTTTGGAGTAAATGCAATTGAGAGTACAAATCTATCTTATCCCACGATCAAGGTGGGATCCTAAAGATATGCAGCAAACAGATAAGTCTAATCTATAATCTGCTCTATATTCTAGTTTATGGTCTAGTCTAGTATACAGTCTAGTCTATAGTCTAGTCTACAGTCTAGTCTAGTCTATAGTCTAGTCTATAGTCTAGTCTATAGTCTAGTCTATAGTCTAGTCTATAGTCTATAGTCTAGTCTATAGTCTAGTCTAGTCTAGTCTATAGTCTAGTCTATAGTCTAGTCTATAGTCTAGTCTATAGTCTAGTCTATAGTCTAGTCTATAGTCTAGTCTATAGTCTAGTCTATAGTCTAGTCTATAGTCTGGTCTATAGTCTAGTCTATAGTCTAGTCTATAGTCTAGTCTATAGTCTAGTCTATAGTCTAGTCTATAGTCTAGTCTATAGTCTAGTCTATAGTCTAGTCTATAGTCTAGTCTATAGTCTAGTCTATAGTCTAGTCTATAGTCTAGTCTATAGTCTAGTCTATAGTCTAGTCTATAGTCTAGTCTATAGTCTAGTCTATAGTCTAGTCTATAGTCTAGTCTATAGTCTAGTCTATAGTCTAGTCTATAGTCTAGTCTATAGTCTAGTCTATAGTCTAGTCTATAGTCTAGTCTATAGTCTAGTCTATAGTCTTGTCTATAGTCTAGTCTATAGTCTAGTCTATAGTCTAGTCTATAGTCTAGTCTATAGTCTAGTCTATAGTCTAGTCTATAGTCTAGTCTATAGTCTAGTCTATAGTCTAGTCTATAGTCTAGTCTATAGTCTAGTCTATAGTCTAGTCTATAGTCTAGTCTATAGTCCAGTCTATAGTCTAGTCTATAGTCTCAGTCTATAGTCTAGTCTATAGTCTAGTCTATAGTCTAGTCTATAGTCTAAGTCTATAGTCTAGTCTATAGTCTAGTCTACCTATCTAGTCTATAGTCTAGTCTAGTCTAGTCTATAGTCTATAGTCTATAGTCTAGTCCTATAGTCTAGTCTATAGTCTAGTCGATAGTCTAGTCTATAGTCTAGTCTATAGTCTAGTCTATAGTCTAGTCTATAGTCTAGTCTATAGTCCTAGTCTATAGTCTAGTCTATAGTCTAGTTATACTATCCTATAGTCTAGTCTATAGTCTAGTCTATAGTCTAGTCTATAGTCTAGTCTATAGTCTAGTCTATAGTCTAGTCTATAGTCTAGTCTATAGTCTAGTCTATAGTCTAGTCTATAGTCATAGTCTATAGTCTAGTCTATAGCTATCTATAGTCTAGTCTATAGTCTAGTCTATAGTCTAGTCTATAGTCTAGTCTTATCTAGTCTATAGTCTAGTCTATAGTCTAGTCTATAGTCTAGTCTATAGTCTAGTCTATAGTCTAGTCTATAGTCTAGTCTATAGTCTATAGTCTATAGTCTAGTCTATAGTCTAGTCTATAGTCTAGTCTATAGTCTAGTCTATAGTCTAGTCTATAGTCTAGTCTATAGTCTAGTCTATAGTCTAGTCTATAGTCTAGTCTATAGTCTAGTCTATAGTCTAGTCTATAGTCTAGTCTATAGTCTAGTTTATAGTCTAGTCTATAGTCTAGTCTATAGTCTAGTCTATAGTCTAGTCTATAGTCTAGTCTAGTCTAGTCTATAGTCTAGTCTATAGTCTAGTCTATAGTCTAGTCTATAGTCTAGTCTATAGTCTAGTCTATAGTCTAGTCTATAGTCTAGTCTATAGTCTAGTCTATAGTCTAGTCTATAGTCTAGTCTATAGTCTAGTCTATAGTCTAGTCTATAGTCTAGTCTATAGTCTAGTCTATAGTCTAGTCTATAGTCTAGTCTATAGTCTAGTATATAGTCTAGTCTATAGTCTAGTCTATAGTCTAGTCTATAGTCTAGTATATAGTCTAGTCTATAGTCTAGTCTATAGTCTAGTCTATAGTCTAGTCCATAGTCTAGTCTATAGTCTAGTGTATAGTCTAATTTATAGTCTAGTCTATAGTCTAATTTATAGTCTAGTCTATAGTCTAGTCTATAGTCTAGTCTATAGTCTAGTCTATAGTCTATAGTCTAGTCTATAGTCTAGTCTATAGTCTAGTCTATAGTCTAGTCTATAGTCTAGTCTATAGTCTAGTCTAGTCTCTAGTATAGTCTATAGTCTAGTCTATAGTCTAGTCTATAGTCTAGTCTATAGTGTAGTCTATAGTCTAGTCTATAGTCTAGTCTATAGTCTAGTCTATAGTCTAGTCTATAGTCTAGTCTATAGTCTAGTCTATAGTCTAGTCTATAGTCTAGTCTATAGTCTAGTCTATAGTCTAGTCTATAGTCTAGTCTATAGTCTAGTCTATAGTCTAGTCTAGTCTATAGTCTAGTATAGTCTAGTCTATAGTCTAGTCTATAGTCTAGTCTATAGTCTAGTCTATAGTCTAGATAGTCTAGTCTATAGTCTAGTCTATAGTCTAGTCTATAGTCTAGTCTATAGTCTAGTCTATAGTCTAGTCTCTAGTCTAGTCTATAGTCTAGTCTATAGTCTAGTCTAATCTATAGTCAAGTCCATAGTCTAGTCTATAGTCTAGTCTATAGTCTAGTCTATAGTCTAGTCTATAGTCTAGTCTATAGTCTAGTCTATAGTCTAGTCTATAGTCTAGTCTATAGTCTAGTCTATAGTCTAGTCTATAGTCTAGTCTATAGTCTAGTCTATAGTCTAGTCTATAGTCTAGTCTATAGTCTAGTCTATAGTCTAGTCTATAGTCTAGTCTATAGTCTAGTCTATAGTCTAGTCTATAGTCTAGTCTATAGTCTAGTCTATAGTCTAGTCTATAGTCTAGTCTATAGTCTAGTCTATAGTCTAGTCTATAGTCTAGTCTATAGTCTAGTCTAGTCTAGTCTATAGTCTAGTCTATAGTCTAGTCTATAGTCTAGTCTATAGTCTAGTCTATAGTCTAGTCTATAGTCTAGTCTATAGTCTAGTATAGTCTAGTCTATAGTCTAGTCTATAGTCTAGTCTATAGTCTAGTCTATAGTCTAGTCTATAGTCTAGTCTATAGTCTAGTCTATAGTCTAGTCTATAGTCTAGTCTATAGTCTAGTCTATAGTCTAGTCTATAGTCTAGTCTATAGTCTAGTCTATAGTCTAGTCTATAGTCTAGTCTATAGTCTAGTCTATAGTCTAGTCTATAGTCTAGTCTATAGTCTAGTCTATAGTCTAGTCTATAGTCTAGTCTATAGTCTAGTCTATAGTCTAGTCTATAGTCTAGTCTATAGTCTAGTCTATAGTCTAGTCTATAGTCTAGTCTATAGTCTAGTCTATAGTCTAGTCTATAGTCTAGTCTATAGTCTAGTCTATAGTCTAGTCTATAGTCTAGTCTATAGTCTAGTCTATAGTCTAGTCTATAGTCTAGTCTATAGTCTAGTCTATAGTCTAGTCTATAGTCTAGTCTATAGTCTAGTCTATAGTCTAGTCTATAGTCTAGTCTATAGTCTAGTCTATAGTCTAGTCTATAGTCTAGTCTAGTCTAGTCTATCGTCTAGTCTATATAAAAGTCTTGCGGTTTTTATAACATGATTTGACGGGGTATGGTCAAAAAAATGTACAGCAAACATGGCAACAACAAGAATTTATCTTCAATAAAAAATTTAAAACTAATATTTAAACAGCAAAAGAAAAAAATCTATATAAAATATTTAAACAAAATAAAATTAAATTGTTGAACTAATTAACAGCGTTATTATTATTATTGCTGATACGCCACCACGCTGTGCTGTTGTACAACACAAGAAATATTGTATTTCGGAATTTTGAAAATTTTTTAGTTTGCACATGAATGGAGGAGGTCAGTTTTAATGTTTGTAAAGCTGCGAATTTGGAGTTTTTTTTAAGATATTGATTTTACATAGAGCTACATTTTTGTTGTAACAAATTTGTTAGGGTATTGCAAAATTTGATTTTTTTTAAACAAAAGATTGATCAGAAATTGTAATTTTGTTTTTAATAAATATTAGAAATTAAATTAATGGTTTAGAATATTTGTAAGATTTCTAAGATTTTTGGTAGTAAATATATAATTGCTAGGTGATTTATAATTTTTATTAAGAAATATTTAAAAGTAGTTTGAGAAATAAAAAAAAATAATAACTTACTTTGTTAATAGATCGCTGATAAATTGAGTTGTCTAATGTTTGGCAGCAATTAAAATCCTTTGGGGGCCTATTGTATGACCTACAAAGATAATTTAAATGAAACTAAAAATTAGAAAAGGAAATGTATAAATTATATATAAAGATAAAAATTAACATATTTGGCATTCCTTAAAATCACTTTTTAATATTGTCTGACATCAAAGATTTAAAATATACAAATCTGCCAATAAAAAAAACAACTTCAACAATATAAGATCCCCAAAATCACAGCACGTACTAGCCATCAACTCTATATTATAATTATCTGACAAAAAATCTTCACCAAAAACAAACTTTAGACTTTAAAGTTAAACTTTAACTTAATAACTACTCGCGTACTCAACCAGTAACTTAAACTCTTGACAGGTATTTAACATTGCAACTCATCGTTGCAACTAATTACCAACAACATCAAGCAACAACAATTATGTTAAGCATGCGCAACAACAATAAAGCAGCAGCAACACGTTAACAATTACCAAAAAATTATAATATAAATAAAATACTAGCAACATAAAATAGCAATTGTTGTTGTTGAAAAAGAAGAAGAAAAAAGCATTTAGTGATTTGCAGAAAAAATAAAAGCGAAACATACATTCAAAAGGCACTAAATATTAAACGTGCAGCAAAATGTATAATAATCACTGAAGCTTAACCAAATAACAGAGTTTTAAAAGAATGTAATCATCCTTCTCAGGTTTTTTTATTTATTTCACAGTTCAAAATTATAAAGAAACCCACTTAAAGGACGACTTTACATAAAGAGACCAATTCTTCACTAAAAAATTTCCTTTTGAAATCTAAATTTTCTTTAAAAATCTAAATTTTTCTCCAGAAATTCAAATCTTTTTCTAAATATGCCATTTTTATAATAAAACCCCAAATTTCCAATCAAAATTATTAAAAATCCAATTTTAGCAAAAATTTACAATAAAAATCTTTAATAATCTTCAAAAAACCGATCTTTATCTTTAATTAATAAAACGATCTTTAACTAGAAACCCATTTTTAACTTAAATATTGATCTATAACTGAAAGGACGATCATTAACCATAATACCGATCTTGAGAAAAAGGTCAATCATAAAATTAAAGATCATTCTTTATGTAAAAAAACAATCATAATTTTATTTTAAAGATCGATCTTTATCTTGAATTAAAAAAAAGATCTTTAACTAGAAATTTATTTTTAACCAAAATATTGATCTATAACTAAAATACCGATCATTAAATATAATACCGATCTTTAATTAAAAAACCGATCTTGAGAAAAAGGTTAAACATAAAATTAAAGATCATTTCTCATTTACTTAAAGACCGATCTTTAATTAAATGAACTAAAAGATCAATATTTATCTAATTGAACTAAATATTAATCTTTAACTAAGAGACCGATCAGTAACAAAAAGACTGATCTTTAGTTAAAATATCGATCCTGAGAAAAGGGTCAATCATAAAATTAAAGATCATTCTTTATGTAAAAGAACGATCATTTACTTAAAGACTGATCTTTAACTAAACGAACTAAAAGATCAATATTTATCTAATTGACCTTAATATTGATCTTTAACTAAGAGACCGATAAGTAACAAACAGACGGATCTTTAGTTGAAATATCCATCCTGAGAAAAAGGTTAATCATAAATTTAAAGATCATTCTTTATGTAATTGACCGATCTTTAACTAAAAGACTGATTATTTACTAAAATGATCACAAAATAGCACACATAATAAAAAAACTTTTTACAATAAAAATTCGATCTTTAATTTCATTTAAGAGATCGATATTTATCATTAATTAAAATACCAATCTTTGTAGAGAAAAGCATTTGTTAACTTATAGTAAATATTGATCTTTAACTGAAAAACCGATCATTAACAAAAAGTTCGATCTTTTATTATAATAGTGATCTTAAAAAAAAAAGATCAAACATAAAATTAAAGATCATTCTTTATGTAATAGAACGATCATTTACTAAAAGCCATATCAATAGCTAAAAGATCAAAATCAATATATAACTAAAAGACTGATCGTTTACTAATGGGCTAATCTAAAGTAAAAGATCGATATTTAAATAAAAGATCGATATTTTATTAAGAGACCAATTTTTAACTAAACGACTGATGTTAAACTAAAAAAGCGATCTTTCACTAAAATACCGATCTGTAACTGAAAAACAGACTTTTGACTAATATATCGACCTTTAACTAAAGTATCGAATCTATAACTAAAAGATTGATCATTTACTAAAAGACCGATCTTTGAATAAAATACTGATATTTTATTAACCCCCATTATCTCAATGTCTGGTTATATTTTATCATAAGGTTAAATTGACAGTTTTCATACAAAAATTATTTTAACTGGCAAAATATCTACCGGTTAAACGATAACCGGAGTTGGTATTAACGGGGGTAAGAGATTAATTTTTAATTAAAAGATGTTTAACTATAAAACCGAACTATAATATATAAAATAAAATGCCGATCTTTAATAAAAAGACCAATCTATAACTAAAAGACTGATAGTTTACTAAAAGGCTAATCTATAACTAAAAGATATATTTTTAAATAAAACATCGATATTTTATTAAGATACTAATTTTTAACTAAACGACTGATATTTAACTAAAAAAACCGATCTTTCACTTAAATACTGATCTGTAACTGAAAAACAGACTTTTGACTAATATATCGAGAGAGCAATTTTAGATTAACTAAAAAAACGATATATAACTATAATGCCGATCTTTAACTAAAAGCCCTTTCAACAACTAAAAGATCAATATTTATATAATAGGCCGATCTTTAATTAAAAGACCTATCATTTACTAAAAGGCTAATCTATAGCTAAAAGACCGATCTTCAAATAAAATATCGATATTTTATTAAGAGACTAATTTTTAACTAAACGACTGATATTTAACTAAAAAAACGATCTTTATCTTAAATACTGATCTGTAACTGAAAAAAAAGACCTTTGACTAATATGATCGTTAACTAAAATATCGTTATTTAACAGAAAAAAGAGTTCTTTAACTTATTTAACTAAAATATCGATCACCGACTAACTTTAATTAAATTAACCTTCTTCAACTGAAATATCGATCAACGAATAAGATACCGATATTTCAATAAAAGACAAATGTTACAATAAAAGTCCGAATTTTCAATAAAATATATATTAACTGATCTTCAACTAAAAGATCGTTTTATTTTGCTAAAATATCAATCTTATTCTTAAAAGTTAATCATTCATATCAAGACTGATCATAAACTTTAATTAACAAAAACGATCTTAAACTTATTTTTAATAAAATGCCTAACATTAACTAAATTTCCCTTCTTTAATTAATATATCGACTAACAGACTGATCTTACATTAAAAGATCGTTTTTTTTTACTAAAATATTGATTTTATTCTAAAAATCCAAACATTAGTTAAACTATCGCTCTTTAACTAAAAAAGTGATCTTTAATTAAAAACTAAATATATTTAACTTCCTAACCAAGAGAAGTCCAAACTTTAACTGATCTTTAACTGAAAGGCATGATCTTATATAAAATCGTTCTTTAAAATACTAATATTTAACTATATAAAATACCGATCTTTATTTAAATAAAATAACGATCTTTATCTTCCTCTACGATCAAAACGGAGTCTATTCGACTATACTTGAGTGTGCGCGCGAAGTGAATTCAAGGAAAATCACTAAAACCTATAGATAATAAAGGACATGAAAATTTAGCTGTAGAGCCAGCCGATCGTTAAACCACACTCACTTAGATCCATAGGTAGAAATCTCAGAAAGTGCTTAACCCCCCTTAGATCTCATACTGATAACTTCTAGAATAATCATTAAAAACTCAAACCTTCTCAATTAATCTCTGAGAAATTTTATCTCTAAAGTTAAAGTCCAATTCATGAAGACAATATACGTGAATGTTTAGAATCGGATCATTTTGTGTAGATTTCGACCTTGTCATCATCAAAACTGGATGGCATGGTGGAACACAATAAACCAACAATGCCACCTTTTAAAACTCTGATTCAAAAATTCACCAGCAATAAAAACATGATGCATGTATGCAACATAATAAACAACACAATCTACAGTTAAACTATCGTTAAGTTGCAACTTTTAAATTGATTACATAACTTAAATTTAAAGTGAAATAATTTAATTTTGTTTAACCGAAAAAAAATGGTCAGCACCAACGTTACAACAAAAAAAAACCAACAATATAATTTATTATGTTTCCTTATGATTATTTTTCAATTTTCTGTCTTTACAGATGAAGTCGTTGGCCTTAAACTTGTTAAAAACTTTACTTCTACTAATATTTGGCGTAGTGTTGGCAGCAGCCACTAACAGCAGCAGAAGCTCATCTTCAGCAGCGGCAACAGCAACAGCTACATCTTCAGCCAAAACATTAATTAACTTGGCGAATAGAAGAGCATTACCAACAACAACAGCAATACCACCATCATTACAGGCGCCACCACATTTACAACTAAGACGTCATACTTTACCTGCCACAGCGGCAACAACAACAACGACAACAGCAAAAACTACAATACAAATGGCAAGTGCGAGTGGTAGTAGTAGTAGGCAACGTTTGCCTTTAGCAAGGCACGCGGCCAAACAAATTACAACAACGACAACAGCAACAACAAAACCAACGACATCAATTATGACCAACTCAAGAAGAAAACCCATCATAAGCGAAACATCCACATTAGATTCGACAAGACAAGTGCGGCATATTGATGCCACAACAGCATCGACAGCATCGACACCAGTGTCAGTGAGGAATGGTGGTGCTGGAGTACGACAACAACGTAGTTTTCATAGTAATGGTGCCCAACCTTATGAAGACACAGAAACGAAACGTAAATATAAAACTGTAGAACGTAGACAATATACACGTTCCTATAACAGCCCCTCAACGACAACAACAACAACCAGAAAACCACAACAACATTTGAGTGCCTTAAGACAAAGAACTGCTACACTCTATGATGGTTCCAATACATCTCGTCAATCCAAACTATCGTCATTACCGTTACATGACGATGATCTTAAGACAACAAAAACAACAACGACGACAGCAGCATCAACATCCTCAACCTCAGATGCAACAGCCAGCAACCATGGCAACGCAAAACTGACAACTCTGCACAATCAGCAGACACCAAAAACGTGAGTTTCCATTTTTATTTTAATTCTTTTGCATATAAAAGTGTTTTTTTCTTTCTGTCGTATTTAAAAATGTTTAATTTTACCATTTTTGGTTGATCGTTTGTTATTTATAATCATCGTAACCACTCGCGCTAGCTCGATCGCACGCTGCAAGTCTCAACTGTGAGTCATGGGGTTATAAGTTGCAAGAAGTTGGCTGTTTTAAATAGTTTTTCTTGAGCTCGTTTTTAGTTCTTAACGGCCATAAATTTGTCTGGCATAGAAATTCCTTAGATCTGGACGCGGAGAGCGACACGGGAAGGGTGGGGTGGGGGAAAAAAGACAAGAAACGAGGGGAGGGGGAGGGCAGAGGAGAGGCAACGCAAGGGGGAGAGAGAGAAAGGAAAAAGAAAGGTGCAGAGGGAAAGGAAAAAGGGAGAGGAAGAAGAGACACACGGGGAGGGGGGGAAGAGGGAAAGGGAAGGGAAGGGAGCGGAAGAGAGAGCAGGGAGGAGGAGGGGAGAGGGGGCGAAGGCGGGAAGGGAGGGAAGCAAAAGAGCGGAAGACACAGAGGGGGGAAGGGAAGGGGGAAGAGGGGGAACAGGGCCAGCGAGCGAGCGAGCGAGCGAGCGAGCGAGCGAGCGAGCGAGCGAGCGAGCGAGCGAGCGAGCGAGGAGCGAGCGAGCGAGCGAGCGAGAGCGAGCGAGCGAGCGAGCGAGCGAGGAGCGAGCGAGCGAGCGAGCGAGCGAGCGAGCGAGCGAGCGAGCGAGCGAGCGAGCGAGCGAGCGAGCGCGAGCGAGCGAGCGAGCGAGCGAGCGAGCGAGCGAGCGAGCGAGCGAGCGAGCGAGCGAGCGAGCAGCGAGCGAGCGAGCGAGCGAGCGAGCAGCGCGAGCGAGCGAGCGAGCGAGCGAGCGAGCGAGCGAGCGAGCGAGCGAGCGAGCGAGCGAGCGAGCGAGCGAGCGAGCGAGCGAGCGAGCGAGCGAGCGAGCGAGCGAGCGAGCGAGCGAGCGAGAGCGAGGAGCGAGCGAGCGAGCGAGCGAGCGAGCGAGAGCGAGCGAGCGAGCGAGCGAGCGAGCGAGCGAGCGAGCGAGCGAGCGAGCGAGCGAGCGAGCGAGCGAGCGAGCGAGCGAGCGAGCGAGCGAGCGAGCGAGCGAGCGAGCGAGCGAGAGCGAGCGAGCGAGGAGCGAGCGAGCGAGCGAGCGAGCGAGCGAGCGAGCGAGCGAGCGAGCGAGCGAGCGAGCGAGCGAGAGAGCGAGCGAGCAGCGAGCGAGCGAGCGAGCGAGCGAGCGAGCGAGCGAGCGAGCGAGGAGCGAGCGAGCGAGCGAGAGCGAGCGAGCGAGCGAGCGACGAGGAGCGAGCGAGCGAGCGAGCGAGCGAGCGAGCGAGCGAGCGAGCGAGCGAGCGAGAGCGAAGCGAGCGAGCGAGCGAGCGAGCGAGCGAGCGAGCGAGCGAGCGAGCGAGCGAGCGAGCGAGCGAGCGAGCGAGCGAGCGAGCGAGCGAGAGAGCGAGCGAGCGAGCGAGCGAGCGAGCGAGCGAGCGAGCGAGCGAGCGAGCGAGAGAGCGAGCGAGCGAGCGAGCGAGCGGAGCGAGGCGAGGCGAGCGAGCGAGCGAGCGATGCGAGCGAGCGAGGACGAGCGAGCGAAGCGAGCGAGCGACGAGCGCGCGAGCGAGCGAGCGAGCGAGCGAGCGAGCGAGCGAGCGGCGAGCGAGGCGAGCGAGCGAGCGAGCTAGCGAAGCGAGCGCGAGCGAGGCGAAGCGAGCGAGGCGTACCAGCGAGCGAGCGAAGCGAGCGAGCGAGCGAGAGAGCGAGCGGAGAGCGAGCGAGCGCTCGAGCGAGCTGCGAGCGAGCAGAGCGAGGCGAAGCGAGCTGATCGAGCGAGGCGCAGCGACGAGCGAGCGAGCGAGCGAGCGAGCGAGCGAGCGAGCGAGGCGAGCGAGCGAGCAGGAGCGAGCGAAGCGAGCGGAGCGAGCGAGGCGAGCGAGCGACGAGCGAGCGAGCGAGCGAGCGAGCCGAGCGAAGCGAGCGAGCGAGCGAGCGAGCGAGCGAGTCGAGCGAGGCGCTAGCGTAGGAGCGAGCGAGCCCGAGCGAGCGAGCGAGGCGAGGCGAGAGCGAGCGAGCGAGCGAGCGAGCGAGCGAGCGAGCGAGAAGCGAGCGAGCGAGCGAGCGAGCTGAGCGAGCGAGCGAGCGAGCGAGCGAGACGAGCGAGCGAGCGAGCGAGCGAGCGAGCGAGGAGCGAGCGAGCGAGCGAGGAGCGGCGAGCGAGCGAGCAGGAGCGAGCGAGCGAGCGAGCGACGAGCGAGCGAGGAGCGAGCGAGCGAGCGAGCGAGCGAGCGAGCGAGCGAGCGAGCGAGCGAGCGAGCGAGCGAGCGAGCGAGCGAGCGAGCTAGCGAGACGAGCGAGCGAGCGAGCGAGCGAGCGAGGAGCGAGCGAGCGAGCGAGAGCGAGCGAGCGAGCGAGCGAGCGAGCGAGCGAGCGAGCGAGCGAGCGAGCGAAGCGAGCGAGCAGCGAGCGAGCGAGCGAGCGAGAGAGCGAGCGAGCGAGCGAGCGAGCGAAGCAGCAGCGAGCGACGAGCGAGCGAGCTAGCTAGCGATCGAGCGATGATATATCTAGCTATCTATCTATCTATCTATCTATCTATCTATCTATCGATCTATCGAGCTATCTATCTATCTATCTATCTATCATCGATCTTATCTATCTATCTATCTATCTATCTATCTATCTATCTATCTATCTATCTATCTATCTATCTATCTATCTATCTGAGCTACACTTCAGAAAAAGTTTGCTAAATTCATCAGTTATAAATCGTCCAGAAAGTCAAATCATGCAGTTGTGAAGAGATTCCTGGACATTCGGTATCCCAGAGGACCAAAGGATTTGAAATACTGTGCAATCGTGAATCTTGATTCTAGGTTTAAAAAAATTCTTAATAATATATATTCTTTTCCCATTTCAGACCTCGCATGATACAACGTCTAGTTGCTGGTCATATACAAAATGCTGAAGGCCGTTCCACCTATCAAGTATCGGCTGTAACTAGCAATAGCACCATAACCAATTCAACAACGGCGACAAAAATTTCCTCAACAAATTCTACACCAGCAAGACATGCACTCATGAGTAGCAGTTACAGAAGTTCACAATTAAATGCCAACATAAGAGTGGCCTCAACCACTGCTTCGACCACCACAACGACATCTACATCCAAGTCCGGTGAAACTTTAATTGATTCCAACCATGATGTAGACTATCACGATGATGATGAGGCTCTGCTAGATGATCCTGGGGATTTTGACAATTGGGATAATGGTATTTTAAGATTAAGTGCCGGATCGGGTAAGGAAAATAATTTGAAACCTAAAAAGGTTAAAGAGGAAGCCAAGAAAACATTGTCCGATCAAGTACGGGATGGTAAATATGGTTTAATAGAAAAGGAATTATTTAGAAGAACACCCAAGAGACCGGGTGTCTTAAGTTATTTGCCCAATAAAGAAGTACCCGAGGATAATGAACGTAATTTTGGAGGCCTTAATGAGGAGGATATATGGTTAGCTGAAGACCATTTGCTGGTCATTAAAGGTGGCAGCCTTAATGAGGACAATCCCGAGGAACCCTGGCCGGCTATAGATGATTATAATGCAGCTGGTAGGCAAATTAAAATTCCCAGTAATCCCAAAGTTCCGCCACCCTTTCCTGTCCAGCTCGAAGAAAACGGCCCCGTACAGCTTATCGGAAATAATAAACTCACGATCGTCTATCCGCTCTCTAACGAATCGTTACCAGTTTATACCATCGGCACGCAAACCCACAACACGCCGTCCACGGATGCTAGTGACGACGAGAAAAATCTTATTACCCGGCCGGGAAAGGCTAAAAATGCTCAAGAGAACGAGCCTGGTTACAACTACCCGTCGCCCGCGTTACCGTGGCTCTATAACAACCAAACGCTTGCGAATCCATCAGTGAGTGAAGGTGATAAGCCAGTTAATTTCCCTGTATTAGGACCTTTTCTCTATGGACGCAATGGTTCTTTGGATAATATTAATGGCACCGAGGACTTTGATGAAGATGATCCTTCATTATATTATCCTCCAGCCTATTCGTTTGTTTATAAAAGTAACTATTCCAATCGTGTACCTCCAGGACCTTTAGTACCGGGCATTGTAGTACCACCACCTCCCGAACAATTTAGCAAATTAGAGAAGTCACATAAGGAGAAACGACCTCAATCGCCAGCAATTAGATATAGAATTTCTAGTACAACGTCTCCGACACCAACAACTACTACGATAAGTACTACAACTACCACCACTACCGAGCTACCGTATAGACAAGTGTTTACAAAAATATCGGAATATACTCCAAAGATTATTAATATTGCAAATCCATCACCCAGACCTGTTTACACTCCCACACAATCAACCAGATTTTCCATTAGTCCCTCTCCTACACCACCTCCTAGAAATATTGAACCTGTACCAGTTCCCGTGGCAGTACCCATACCCATTTATTCCATCAATTCAAGTCCCAATGTTCGTCCCAATATTATTTCATTTGTTCCCACTACCCCAGAACCCAATGTCGAAACTCTTTCTAAGGCAAATCCAATTTATTATGAATACTTTGAGGCTAAACGACAACAGGGCAGTGCTAACGTTGTTGATGATTACGCTCCGACTACTTCGAAACCAATTACGGTTTCGAAACCCATTAAACTATATGCCACCAGTAAGAGACCATTTAAAGCCCAAGGTCATCGCAATTACTTGCAGCCAGTGCCACCCAATCATCGTTATGTGGATGACGGTGGAGTGGTTATAACTCCTAAACCGGAAATACGCTATAAATCAAGACCCATATTCAAACAACGACCTTTACAAAACTTTGAGCAGGAAGTCAATGCTATACGAGAGACGTTGCGTTATTATCAAAATCAAGAACTACGAGACAATAATATACCCAGAACACCAAAAGCTAAACCGGTATTTGACTATAACTATGAGGGTTCCAAAACGGAAACAGAAGGAGATGTTAGAAATCAATTCCAACCTCCAGTAGAATATGATGGAGAACCCTTCAAACCCATGGTTACTTATAGTCCAGCGGTAAATGATGAAAATGCCTTTAGAGCCTTAGGAGTCGACAAAATTGGTTCCGATGAAGATCAACCTCAAGGAAGAGAAGATTTTGCAGAAGCTCCAAAATATCCCACCACAACATTACTGCCAGTTCAGCCTCAGGGACGTCCTAAAAAGTTAAGAATAGGTGCCAAATATCTGCAACAACCTCCTCAGCAACAGTCGTATGTAAATGCTCCTCAAAGACAACCCAGTTGGTTGGCGGTCAATAAACAAGAATTTAATGAATACGTCCAAGCAGAAAGTCCGCCACAAAGAGAACGTTATCAGGATCCCGTACCTCAAGCTGTACCGGTAATAGCTACTCGCAATCGAGAATATCCCGGCTACTATTATAGTCCGGGAAGACAAAATAATCGTTTCTATGAGGAACCCTTTCAAAATATACCCTCACGTAAAATTATCAATTATAGACCACAACAGCAAACCCAACAGCAACAGCCACAACCACTACCGCCTCAACAGCAACAGCCCATATGGAGTTTAGAAAATGATACATTGGTAAATGAGTTGCCCAATAGACCACCTATTAATCCAGATGCTGAATTTATAGATCCCTACTTGGTGGGCCATCACTCCATCAACAACAACTATCCGTATCAGCAGCAGCAACAACAACAGCAGCCACCACCACAACAACAAAGATTAGTTTATCAACAACAACCTCTACAAAGACCTCCACCACCCATATCTCATCAATCCCAGTACTATGCACGTCCCCAAAGAATACCAGGTAGACAATACCAACAGCAACTTCAACAACAGCAGCAACAGCTACCTCTTCCACCATCACCTCCATTTTCTTTGCAAAACGATGAATTGGTCAACTATAGACAACCCCTACCGCCCATTAATCCCGATAGTGAATGGATTACACATCCTAATGTGATACGTAATCAACAACCACAACAATTTTTTAGATCAAATAATTATCGGTTACCGCCACCACCACAACCGGCTGCTCTGCCAAATGTCGGTGGTGAAGCGGATGTTTATTATTTATCACCAAAATATCGTCGTGCCAATAATCTCAATAACAATAGCAATAATCGTTATCAACAACAGCAGCAGCAACAACAACATAATAATGGCAATGTTAGTAATAATGGTAAATAAGTGTAGAAGAAGTCCACTCATCACTAGAAAGGGCTAAGATAGAAATTTTGGAGGAACGGTAACATAACATCGAAGAAACTTTGTTGCTGTTTCGAGCAGTGCATGTCGTATTATAAAGACAATTGATAAAATAGTCAAATTGTAAAGGTTAGAATCAATTAGGATATAGTCCAGACTATAGACTATTCTAGAGTCCAGACTATAGACTATTCTAGAGTCCAGACTATAGACTATTCTAGAGTCCAGACTATAGACTATTCTATAGTCCAGACTATAGACTATTCTATAGTCCAGACTATAGACTATTCTATAGTCCAGACTATAGACTATTCTATAGTCCAGACTATAGACTATTCTATAGTCCAGACTATAGACTATTCTATAGTCCAGACTATAGATTATTCCATAGTACAGACTATAGACTATTCTATAGTTCAGACCATAGACTATTCTATAGTTCAGACCATAGACTATTATATAGTCCAGACTATAGACCATTCTATAGTCCAGACTATAGACCATTCTATAGTCCAGACTATAGACTATTCTATAGTCCACACTATAGACTATTCTATAGTCCAGGATATAGACTATTCTATAGTACAGACTATAGACTATTCTATAGTCCAGACTCTAGATTATTCTATAGTCCAGACTATGGACTATTCTATATTCCAGACTATAGACTATTCTATATTTCAGCCTAAAAACTATTCTATAGTCCAGACTGTAGACTATTCTATAGTCCAGACTGTGGACTATTCTATAGTCCAAACTGTAGACCGTTCTATAGTCCAAACTGTAGACCGTTCTATATGGTCCAGACTATAGACTATTCTATAGTCCAGACTATAGACTACTCTATAGTCCAGACAGTAGACTATTCTATAGTCCAGACTGTAGACTATTCCATAGTCCAGACTGTAGACAATTCTATAGTCCAAACTGTAGACCGTTCTATAGTCCAGACTGTAGACCATTCTATATGGTCCAGACTATAGACTATTCTTTGGTCCAGACTATAGACTACTCTATAGACCATTCTAACCTGATCACAACATGCATGAGGGTTGTAATATTACACATATCCTATAAAAACGATCCATAGGCATCGAAATTCAGGAGGGAAAATTTGGAAATACTTAAGAAATCGATCGTACAATTCTTTCTTCTTGCTGATCGTTGATCTTCTACGTAACTCTACACTTTAAACAATTTTAAATCTAATAGCTGTGCAATAATATCTACTTAATCTATTTTAAATATTTATAGTTCCAAGTTATATCTGTATTTTTTTAACTTACTTATGATCTTGTAGAAGAAGAAATTTATAATCCTTGCAAATAATTTGCCGGGTTTTTATTTTAACTTTTTTATTCAAAAAGGAGTGTTTAAGTTAGATTTTAAAAAAGATTTTTTCCCTAAAGAAAGTATTAAGTTAACCGATGTTTACTTTAATACTCGATTTTGAATATTTTATTCCAACTTCAACTATGTTTTTTTTTTCCCTTTAAAAATCATTAATTTTAGCAACTCGAATTTATTCTCATTCAATAAAATTAAGTTTTAAACAGTTATTAACTTTGTATATAAAATCTAAATTTTTTCAAATATTTATTATTTTTTCTTAATTGTTTCTAAATAATTGTTAATGACCACTTGAAAAATATATAAAAAATAAAAAGGCAAACTATTAAATATAGAAAAAACAAAATAAAATATAAAACTGGTCAAAGTAAAACTTTAATAATATTAATTAAATATTTTAATAACTAATTATAAATGTAAATAGTTTTTAAAAATCTAGTATTAGCAATAATATAAAGATATTTGAAATAAATTTGAAAAACAATTCTAATAAATTTTAGATTCCGAAAATTTTTTTAATTTTTATAAAAAGCCATAATTTTTAAGTTAAATTTAAGCAGTATGTTAAAAAAAATAAATTTTAAGCATTTTTTTATTATTATAAATTGTGTAATTGTGAACTATTTTTTAGAAAATGTATGTAATTTTACTAATAATATTATTTTTTTATTTTAGTTTTAAATTAATAACAATTAAATAAATTATTCCCAAAAAACACAGACAGAACATGTTAAATAATTAAATAATTGTAAAAATATATACACGAAAAATCGAATAAAGAAAGAATAAATATAAAAATGTTGAGTTTTAATTTAAAGTCGAAGACCAATCCTAGAACTTCTATTAAAAAAGCTATTGGGAATTTTAATCAGATACGTATAAATGTCTTATAATCTTAAGAACTCTAGGCTACCGGAAGACCCCTTATATATGTTCTAATTTACCTCGCGCTATTTCTATGCTCAATATTGTAGAAAATTCAAAAAGTACCTTTTTTGAAGAACGAAAAAGTACCAAAAAATTCCCTTTTATGCTTCATGCTTAATTTAATGTTTCTAGGTTCAATATTACAGAAAATTCAAAAAATTACCCTTTGAAGCCCTACATGCTTAATTTCATGCAAATTGAAAAAGTACCTTTTGAAGAAGGAAAAAGTTCCACATTAAAGCTTCTCATTTACTCCGGGCTCTACATGCTTAATTTTATGTTTCTAGGTTCACAAAAAGTACCTTTTGAAGAACGAAAAAGTACCAAAAAATCCCCTTTTATAGGTTCTCACTTACTTCGGGCTCTACATGCTTAATTTCATATTTTTAGGTCCAATTTACATAATCTGGGCTCTACATGCTTAATTTCATGTTTCTAGGTTCAATATTATAGAATATTCAAAAAGTACCTTTTGAAGAACAAAAAGGTACCAAAAAGCCCCATTTCATAAGTTCTTACATAATCCGGGCTCTACATGTTTAATTTCATGTCTCTAGGTTCAATATTATGGAAAATATAAAAGTACCTTTTAAAGAACTAAAAAGGTACCAAAAAATCCCGATTTATTAGTTACCACTTACTCCGTGCCCTACATGCTTAATTTCATGTTTCTATGTTCAATGTTATAGAAAACGGAAAAGTACCAAAAAGTCCCTTTTATAGGTTCTCACTTACTCCGGGCCCTTCATGCTTAATTTCATGTTTATGGGCTCAATATTATAGAAAATTAAAAAAGTACCTTTTGAAAAACAAAAAAGTACCAAAAAGCCTTCTTTAATAGGTTCTCAGTTACTCCAAGCTATAAATGCTTCATTTCATGCTTCTAGGTTCAATATTATAAAAAAAATTGAAAAAGTACCTTTTGAAAAACAAAAAAGTACCAAAAAATAGCCTTTTATAGGTTCCCACTTACTCCGGGCCCTACATGCTTAATTTTATGTTTCTAGGTTCAATATTACAGAAAATTCAAAAAGTACCTTTTAAAGAACGAAGAAGTACCAAAAAGTCCCCTTTTATATGTTCCCATTTATTCATGTTTCTAGGTTTAATATTATAGAAAAATCAAAAAATTACTTTTGAAGAACGCAAACGTAAGAAAAAATCGCCTTTTATAGGTTCTTACTTACTTCGGCCTCCAATGTTTCATTTCATATTTCTAGTCTCAATATTATAATTATGACCTCAAAATCCCTATTCAGGGTACTTGGTCAAGTGTCAATCTATTCATGATGTTTTGCCGATGCACACTAATCGTAACTGTCTAAAAGTGAACGCAGTATAACAGTTTGTTTGACAGTTAATTAAGCCTTTCGTGCTTTAAAAAACTAAAATTTATTTTTGATTTCTTTAAAGTTAATGCCTCAAAGTAGACAATATTTTTTTGAAAAATGTTTTTCAAATTGTAAAGTATGAAATGTTAAACTAACATTTCATTGATAAACTGTTATAATTGTTTTATACAGTAGCACAACAAAAGAGAAACTAACACACAAATAATGAGATAATTTCTACTATATAATCAAATAATTCTTACAAATTAGCAACTTGTCGCATTATCGCTTCATTCAATTATTATTATTGAAAACTAAGTGACATATGACATGTGTCGATGGCAAAAGTCAAATGAATTCATCCCTTAAAACAACTGTTGTTCTAACTGACATTATAACTTCTTTCTTTTGAAAACCAAAAAATCTGACAACTCTCTTCTTACCAAAGCATTTAAGGCGCCTGCGTTAAAAATTAATGTTTTGACAGCTTCGATATGTTGGCAACACTATTACACTCATTCTCCAAAGAGAAGCAGTAAAAAAAGTATATGTAACGGTATTTAGGGAGACATTTATACATGCAATAAAATGAGTATAAATTAAGGAAATAATACATGCAGACATGAAAGGAACAAAAAAATCGATTTACAAGGATACACTCGATATTTGAAGGAGCATAACAATAAAGGGACAAACACTCATACATACTCATACGTAAAATATGAAACGTCAGCACACATAGGGACAAACAGATGTATGTATGCAATACATATAGTTGAAGCAAATTGAAACAAATGAGAAAATGATGACAATATTATGACAAAGAGATACGGGGGAGGACAAGTGGAGAATAGTACCTTTGGTAGTGGAAGATGGTACTTTTTTCGGAAAGGCAAGTGTCCCTAGTAAGTAAGTAAGTAAGTAAGTAAGTAAGTAAGTAAGTAAGTAAGTAAGTAAGTAAGTAAGTAAGTAAGTAAGTAAGTAAGTAAGTAAGTAAGTAAGAAGTAAGTAAGTAAGTAAGTAAGTAAGTAAGTAAGTAAGTAAGTAAGTAAGTAAGTAAGTAAGTAAGTAAGTAAGTAAGTAAGTAAAAGTAAGTAAGTAAGTAAGTAAGTAAGTAAGTAAGTAAGTAAGTAAGTAAGTAAGTAAGTAAGTAAGTAAGTAAGTAAGTAAGTAAGTAAGTAAGTAAGTAAGTAAGTAAGTAAGTAAAGTAAGTAAGTAAGTAAGTAAGTAAGTAAGTAAGTAAGTAAGTAAGTAAGTAAGTAAGTAAGTAAGTAAGTAAGTAAGTAAGTAAGTAAGTAAGTAAGTAAGTAAGTAAGTAAGTAAGTAAGTAAGTAAGTAAGTAAGTAAGTAAGTAAGTAAGTAAGTAAGTAAGTAAGTAAGTAAGTAAGTAAGTAAGTAAGTAAGTAAGTAAGTAAGTAAGTAAGTAAGTAAGTAAGTAAGTAAGTAAGTAAGTAAGTAAGTAAGTAAGTAAGTAAGTAAGTAAGTAAGTAAGTAAGTAAGTAAGTAAGTAAGTAAGTAAGTAAGTAAGTAAGTAAGTAAGTAAGTAAGTAAGTAAGTAAGTAAGTAAGTAAGTAAGTAAGTAAGTAAGTAAGTAAGTAAGTAAGTAAGTAAGTAAGTAAGTAAGTAGTAAGTAAGTAAGTAAGTAAGTAAGTAAGTAAGTAGTAAGTAAGTAAGTAAGTAAGTAAGTAAGTAAGTAAGTAAGTAAGTAAGTAAGTAAGTAAGTAAGTAAGTAAGTAAGTAAGTAAGTAAGTAAGTAAGTAAGTAAGTAAGTAAGTAAGTAAGTAAGTAAGTAAGTAAGTAAGTAAGTAAGTAAGTAAGTAAGTAAGTAAGTAAGTAGTAAGTAAGTAAGTAAGTAAGTAAGTAAGTAAGTAAGTAAGTAAGTAAGTAAGTAAGTAAGTAAGTAAGTAAGTAAGTAAGTAAGTAAGTAAGTAAGTAAGTAAGTAAGTAGTAAGTAAGTAAGTAAGTAAGTAAGTAAGTAGTAAGTAAGTAAGTAAGTAAGTAAGTAAGTAAGTAAGTAAGTAAGTAAGTAAGTAAGTAAGTAAGTAAGTAAGTAAGTAAGTAAGTAAGTAAGTAAGTAAGTAGTAAGTAAGTAAGTAAGTAAGTAAGTAAGTAAGTAAGTAAGTAAGTAAGTAAGTAAGTAAGTAAGTAAGTAAGTAAGTAAGTAGTAAGTAAGTAAGTAAGTAAGTAAGTAAGTAAGTAAGTAAGTAAGTAAGTAAGTAAGTAAGTAAGTAAGTAAGTAAGTAAGTAAGTAAGTAAGTAAGTAAGTAAGTAAGTAAGTAAGTAAGTAAGTAAGTAAGTAAGTAAGTAAGTAAGTAAGTAAGTAAGTAACTACTAAGGTACTTTTATCAATTGCTACCTCAAAAAAGTACCATGTACAACCTACATTTCTCACCCTGCTTCCAGCACACAGACACACTTCAGAGAAGAACAAATAAGGATATAAATAACATAACAACAACTGTAATAAAAACAACAACAACATCCACTGCTAAATACCAGACACACTCAATACAAAAGTCCTTTGAGAGAGAGCATAAAAGCAAAATCAATTGAAAATACACAAGTGTGTAAACGGTAAAAGAACTGAAGAAAAAAAGAATTTTTGCGAAAAAGTTTATTTTGTTAAAAAGGAAAAAAGTGGAAAATTTTAGGAAAATTAATAAAAATTTTAACAAAACAAATTACTGAAACATATTTCTGCGAAAACATGTAAATAAAGAAAATATAAAGTTTTTACTTCAGCAAAAAAAATTTGTGTTAAATTTTTGACGGTAGTTTAGGAGGTGGTGAACTTTAAAACAGGAAAAAAAGGTGTGTAGCTTTAATCAAATTTTTCCTCAGCCAGGAAAAAAAAACCCAAGAGAATGTACATAATTGACGCGTGAAGTTGGAAGAAAAAAAGTAGAAAACTTTGAAAATATGACTCAAATATGTTGGTTGTTAATTGAACCACCAATTTTGGAAAAGGCCAATTAAATGACACACACTACGACACACAAGCACATACACAGGAGAAACACATTTAAGGTCTTTTTCCCAAAAAAAAAAAAATATTTATAATTATTACTAATAGAAATAATCATAAAAAACCAATACCGCCCAGGGTAAAATTAATTACAAGAAATTAAATAAAAAAAAAAATTTAAATTCTGTAACAAAAGGAAAGAAAGAAGAGAAGAAGAAATTAATTTCGATTGAAAATTATTGCTGTCAAAGTGTGTATGTGTTGCTGGTATTCAATAGTTCAACAGCCGGATTGCCGCATCTATTTTAAAAACATCAATCGATATTGATAACAAGTAAAAAAAAAAAAACAGAGGACAAAAAGGAACAAAAAGGAGAGTAGAGAAGGAGGATAAACAACAACAAATAAAAAATGGTAACAATGTCTACAGAAGTGGATACAACACAAACGACCATCGCCACAAACATGTCGAACAAAATGCCATCGATAACAAATTTGAATTCATCTAATGCAACAACTATAACAACAACAAATGGTTCCATAACGGAAATTAATGACGATACAACAATACCAATGAATAATGGTTGCAGTGATATTGCTAAAGATGCTTTGGTTGAGGATAATAATTTTAGTAAAAAGGAAACCGTAACGCCACCCATACTGCCCACTGCAGCAGCAACAGAAACACCACCTTCACCCCAAAAACCCAGTAAAGAGGAACCACCTAAATCACCAAAACCAACCGCCGATATTAGCAACAACAAATTAAATCCTCAAATAACTATAACAGAGTCAGAAGCTCAAGACAACAGTTCTGGACCCTCAACACCAACGACAGCAGCAGCAGCACCACCACCACCAACAGCAGAAAATCAAGATAAGAAAGATGATACTAACACCACCACTGTAACCACCATCACCACCGGCAACAGTAGTCCCACTAAAACTACTGTTATAAGTACAAAAACGGAGACCAAAATTCAAGCCTCTCCGGAGAAAACCACTAAACCGACTAATACAACCGCCGCATCAGTACAAAATACTACTACTATCAACAATAGCAGTGCTCTAGGTTCTACACCCAACACTAACATCACCACCGCCACCACCAATAACAATTCAAAACCTTCGAGCAATTCGAATTCTATAAATCAAAATCTTTTATCATCATCAATGAATAAATCTACAAATCAATCGTCACAACAACAGTCTACTGCCCCGGGTTCATCTTCACAAACTACTGGCATGGGTTGTTCATCAGCGTCATCATCAGCGGCTGCAGCTGGTAGTCATCAGAAAAATAATCATCATACACATAATGTACAGTCAACGGTGGTTCAGTCCTCGAATCATAATAAGAAAAATGAAGATGCTCCTAATATTTTGGTCTATAAAAAGGTGAGTTAGAAACTTAGGAAGTACTTAGCTATTCGGATATACCGAATTTTATCTGAAAAATTATATAATAACGATATTTAGCAGTTCAAGCTATTTTATCCGGTATTTATCATATCCAAAGAGTGCATAGTTTTATCATTTTAGAATTGTACAAGATCTTAGAAGATATATTTTATAGATAGGTTCTCGATATTTTGATATATTACACACGTAAAAATAATTGTCCCCATCTTCTATAAGGTGACCATAACTAAAAGTGGGGCGGAAATTTTAAAATTTACATTTTCTTAAGAAAATGGTCTCCATTTGTCTGACGGGCGTAATTCTTCGAATTTTCCAATCAATATTCGTGAAAGATGTTATAACCGGAATAATAGCACTCCCAAGATATTTGGATCTAATTTCGGCGAAACCCTGACAATGGCAAAAAAGTGCTTCAGGATTTCACTCTCCTCTCTACATTTGTCTGAATCCGATTTTGTATAGCTCTGCCCGTAATGCTATGTATGTCCACTCAGAATACGTACCATCATACTAACTTCAGACGTACTCGTTTTGAGGAAGCTTCTCGTTCTGCTCTTGTTAGGGTCACCCCACAGAATCTTTGTGGTTCTACCCAGAGTTTTATTATTCTAACCCCGATTATCTCAATGTTTGGTTATATTTTATCGTAAGGTTAAATTGCCGTTTTCATACAAAAATTATTTTAACCGGCAGAATATATACCGGTTAACCGGAGTTGGTGTTAACGGGAGTAAGAGGCCTTATGAGATTCTCTAACACATATTTTTCCGTTCGTCAGTTTACATACCTCGAGCTCTTTTCCATTTAAAGATCTTTAGTTGCTAACTACTTCCGAGTGGCCTGGTACTTATATGATGTAAACCTTACCTCTGACAGATTATTCGGTTAGAGCTTTCTTACAATCCAATAAGGATATTACACTTTTTGTCCAAAGAAGTCCACCAGATTATTGAATTACTCTTTTACAAATCCAATGTGTCATAGTAGGACTAAGGTTCCATTTAATACCTATGGTTCTCCTACATGATGAGCCCCGTTGATCATATCCTCTATGTGATGTTTCCATTTCAATATCCGGTCAAGGATTACGCTTAAGTACTTAACTCCTTCTGTCACCGGTATCTTCTTGCCTAGGAAACAGGGTTCAATACATTTTTGTCTTTCCTGTGAAGACTGATTTCGGTACTCATCGGGTTAACATTGAGGTCTCTCTATTGAGCCCACTCTGACATAAAATGGTAATAATTTAGCTGATAAACTCATAAATGATCTGAGTCTTTATGAGGTCGTCTTTATAAGTTCGTGGCATGGCTCTCACGGCGGCGACAATAAGTGACGAATATGTTGATAGGATATTTAATGACTTCTAGATTCCTTTATTCCCGCTATCTATAGTTTAACATCAAACCTTGTTCTTGGTCGAGTCGTTTCGGATAACTTATATAGACTAATCATGGGCCCGATGCAGTCGACTTCCTGGGTTGACATATTATCATCAAACTTAAATTACCGAGCAAAGTGAAAAAGTCTATATGTCAATTGTAGAGAACAGACCAGAATCCCGGAAGGGAATTGAACTCTTAATCCTCTGACTAATAGAGTAAAGGACTATCGTTGTTCAAGAAATCAGATTTAGGTCGCTTTTTTCTTATATCTTCGAAATTTGCTCGAGAATAGTTTTTCTACCCGATTTATGTCGCCTTTTCTTAAATCTTCGAAATGTGCTCGAGAATAGCTTTTCTTCCTGATATTTCTGCCGATAAGCGATTTTGCGTCGAGTTTCCCAATCCGAGTTATCGATCAACCTTTTATCTATCGAAGAATTCGCTGCCACGGACGCTTCGTTAGGAGTAAAAGCTTTAAGTTCTTCTTACCTATTCCATTATTAAAGTTATTTTTTGGATTAAATATCCAGTTACATATCTGACCCAGAAGTTATTTAACTCTTATGACCCTCCTCCATTAAGACAGCTGTTGGTCTTTAAGAAGTCAATTTATGGTAATCAGACAAGAGTAGGAAACTAATTTAACAGACGTTCTGAATCGGCCAGATATTTTAGAAGTCCTTTGATTTTAACCATTGGGAGCTTATAATCACGTTTCGCTATATCACAGTTCAGACGTGACTGTGACTCAGTACTGGAAGGAGAATCTTAAGCAAGCATCTCCTCAGTCCATAAAGTCATCACTATTATTACTATAGTTCTATTTAATGAACATTGAAGACGAATATATTGTCTTACTTTATTCTTCTAGATCAATCAAATCTTATTTTATGTCATATTTCTAGATCACTTAGGGTACTACTCCCCGACTTTTGTCTTAAAATAGTTTTAATAATAATATATTCATTTTCTTTCCAGATGGAGGCTGTCATAGAAAAAATGCAAGCCGAAAGTACTGGCGTCTCAGTGCGCACCGTTAAAGGATTTATGACAAAAGTTCCTTCGGTATTTACGGGTGCCGATTTAATATCATGGATATTGAAAAATTTAGATGTAGAAGATGTTACCGAAGCCCTACATTTTGCACATTTATTGGCATCACACGGTTATATATTTCCTATAGATGATCATCAGTTGACGGTGAAAAATGATGGAACATTTTATAGGTAAGGGTTAAAACTTATTTTATACAACAACTGTTAACTAACAGATTTTAAACTAGTATTTAGTATTGCCTATGTTGAGGCTTATTATATTAATTATTTATTTGCATATGGGTGCTTCCCTTAATAAAGTTTTTTAAATATAAATTTTATCTCTTAAGATTTCAAACTCCCTACTTCTGGCCCTCTAATTGTTGGGAACCCGAAAACACAGACTATGCGGTTTATTTATGTAAACGGACTATGCAGAATAAAACCCGCCTGGAATTGGCCGATTATGAGGCAGAGAATTTGGCTAAATTACAGAAAATGTTTTCCAGAAAATGGGAATTTATATTTATGCAGGTGAGTTTAATAAAACTTATACATGTAATATATTCTAAATTGTGGTTTTATGAAATCTTGGCCCTAGGCTGAATCCCAAAGTAAAGTGGCTAAAAAGCGTGACAAATTGGAGCGTAAGGTTTTAGACTCTCAGGAAAGAGCCTTTTGGGATGTGCATCGACCCATGCCGGGTTGTGTGAATACTACTGAAATTGATATTAAAAAAGCATATCGTCGTGGCTGTTCGAGTCATGGTACCGGTTCGGCCGGGGCAGCAGTTACGAAAAATCCTATAGAACAATTAACACGTATTATAACGTTGCGTAAGCAGAAATTAGAACGTCGTACTATAAAAGTATCAAAAGCAGCGGAAGCGTAAGTTTAAGATTAAAGAAGAAATTTTGATTAAAGTAATTAAAGTAAATTTTCCTTAAACAGATTGGTATCTTACTATGAGCAATATAATGAATTTGATTACTTTATAACCTCACCGGAATTGCCCAATCCTTGGCAAACTGATAGTACCGAAATGTGGGAGGCCGAGAAAAATAGGTGAGTTTGATTTTAAGTTTAAGAAATGTTGAAGATTTGTAATAAATTTTATTTTAAATTTTAGCAAAGAGGTGCCCATGCGTCGAGTCAAACGTTGGGCCTTTAGTATGCGTGAGTTATTGAAAGATCCCATGGGCCGTGAACAATTTGCCAAGTTTTTGGAAAAGGAATACAGTTATGAGAATTTACTGTGAGTTAAAAAGGGAATGACTTTAAGTAAGAGACGACTTTTTATAAGATTTGGTTTAACTTTCTTTCTAGTTTCTGGGAAGCGGTTCAAGATATGAAAGCTTTGCCTCAATCTGAAATCAAAGAAACCATACAGCGTGTATGGAATGAATTTCTAGCACCCGATGCTCCTCGCGCCGTAAATGTGGACTCTAAATCGGTAGAATTAGCCAGAGAAGCGGTAAATTCTCCCAATGGCCCCAATCGCTGGTGTTTCGATGTGGCAGCCGCTCATGTTTATCATCTAATGGAAAGAGATTCTTATCCCCGCTATTTACGTTCCGATATGTACAAGGATTATATCAATTGCTCACGCAAGAAGGTCAAGTCTATACCAAATCTATTTGGAGTGAAACGCTGAAGTGTAGTTCCCGCGGTTGGTACAACAACCGCGGCTCATTCCTCATCCCTATCATCACAAGGCGGCCAGGGGGCAGGAGGAGGAGGTGGTGGATCAGGAGCCAGTACCTCCTCAGCTGGTACTAGTCATTCACAACAACATGCCCATCATCATCACAGATCATCATCATAAATTTTCATTGAAACACAATAGTAGAAATCAAGAAATCAAGAGCCAGGAATTGTAGGGTATAAAAATGGATCTCCTCAAAAAATTTAAAAAAAAATAATAAACTAAATGTGCAACACATGTTCTTTTTTCTAGGTTTTAAATAAAATTTGAAGAGAAAAAAGGAAAGCAATTTAGAAAAATACCAAAATTGTTTTCTTTTTTTCAAAAAATAAAAATATAGAAAATTAAATGTAATTTGTGTTAAATACATGTATAAAACTAACAAAAAAAAACTTAAATAAAAATAAGTTTAAAATTATATTTAAAATTAAAAAAAAAAAACTAAATATTATTTGTTATAATATTCAATGTAAAACCACCCATAATCAAATAATAACAATAAAAACCACCCACTTTAAAAAAAAATTGTTTCATGGAATAAAACCATATACTTGTTCTACTAAAAAGGATTTGAAAAACACTATAAAATTTTTCATACAAGTACTACAATTGACCCATAAAACTGTACCACACACATGTTTAGTTGAAATATGTAACCAATTAAAATGGTTATTAAAAGTTATTTAGAGAAAAGAGGAATAAATAATAAATGAACTAAAGGAATAAAAAAAAATTAAAATTGTCATTAATAGTTAAATGAATATTAATTAATTGTATTGTATTAAAAATATTATGCAGATAATTTTAAATATTAAAAAACAAAAATTGAAAAAAAAAAAACAACAAAAAATAATAATCTATAAATAAAAAAAATTTATAAATGTTTTAATTGTATAGTTTATAACTGCCAAAAGAACTTTTTTTTCATAATCTGAACACAGACAGCTTTTTTAGTGATTCCCCGGTACATATCATTCAAAATGGTTAAAATCGGTCTATTATTTGGACTAGCCCCCATACAACCGTATCCCCCGAACATGGCTTGTGAGCTCATAATTATGTTAAATGTTCTAGTATATCAAGACAAATCGCCAAAACTTAGTTTTATAAAAGTCTAAATGACACTACCGATTTTCGTAATGACCGGGCCTCATTTGACTCTAGCCCCATATACACTGCTCTTCAGAAAATAACTTGAAGATCATAAACTTGGATTATTCAAAATTTAAGACACAATAACTCGAAAACCTATTATGATAAATTTTGATTAAAGTATAACTTGATCTCATAGTTTTGACTTTTATCAATTTTCGTTGGCCTCTGTAGTTTAAGGGGTCAAATGTTCTCTCAAAGTTTTTGCTAAATTTCAAGCTCCTCAAATAAACTAATACTTATACAAATGTGGTAAAAAATTACCAGATTACTAATCGATCAGGGCGCGGATATATTTATATATTGTCATTCTTATAGCTCAACTTGCAACAACAACTATCCAAAAACTTCCAACAAGTAACAGTCTTATATTCGTTTTATATTTAAAGTGTATTTCGTAAAGTGGACCTAAGTATTGGTCATTTTGAAAATATCCTTTTTTATATATGAAATTTTAAAATGTATTCGGGAGGAAAGTTCGTATGACAGTCGGACAAGACAAAACTTCGATGTACATATATTTATATATCGTCACTGATGAGTTTGTTAATCTTTCTTATACCTCAACTTGCAACAACAACAACTTCCAACAAGTAAGAGTCTTATATTCCTTACATACATATTTAAAGTGCATTTCCCTAGGTGGACCTATTGGTCATTTTGAAATAATCCTTTTGTATATATTACAGTTTAAAATGTATCCCGGAGGAATATTCGTATGGTAGTCGGACATGATTAGATATAGGGTCAACCAATATTTGGATGTACGTATTACAATCGATCTAAAAAACAATATAGCCCCATGACTGTCATAAATCCCAGATATAAAAAATTTTGTATTTTATTCATAGGCCATATGCCAAATGTTACATGGATGTCAGTGTTCCTTTTTGCCAAATTTGTGGATTCCAGCTATAATAACCCAGATATATACATTTTTGTATTCAATGGGAGGTGATACGTCTTCGATTGCTAGTCCGCACATTTTTTCTCAAATGTTAACATTTATATCAAAATTTCTACGATATTTTTTGTATTTTATTCTTATGGTAGGTGCGACAGTTGGTATAATCGGTGATCCGACCATTTTTTGTCTTAAATATTCATATTGAAATTTAAAGTTCATTCGAAAAAATTTGAGGACTTCTAGCTGTCATACCTACTAAATTTCTTTACATGGAAGGAGCCATGCCTCCAGTACCTAAACAGCCCATTCTGCCCGCAACTTTTCATATGGATCTTAAAGTTTTCTGCACGCTAAATTAGAGGACCCTAGCGGTTACAATTTCTTAGATATATGACTTTTTTTAATTTCGAAATAAACAGGAATAAACTGTGAACATTTTAACCGATTTTCTTTAAATCCAGCCGTCAAAAAACTAACCCACAAAAAATATATAGAAGATAATAAATATATATGTACATATATCTCAGGGTCAGAGTGTAAACAGGGAAAATTACACTTTTGGGTTGTAAAAAGTGGTCCCGACGGAGTTTTAATTTTCAGCCTATTACACTTAACGGCTAAAATGAAAACTTTTAATTTTTAGGCGCTGATACTTTCTTATACCCTGCACCATTATAGTGGGAAGGTTTTTATGGGTGTACTGACGCTTAGAAATATTGGTTCTACACTAAGCATACTAATTATTTTCTGAAACGATTTATCCATTCTGTCTGCCTTGCAGTCAGTTCATGTAAATCTGGAATCTTCTTTTGATCCAGGGACACCTATTGAAATTGGTTTAAATCAATTCATTATATCTCCTTGCTTTGGTTCTCATAATTATGTTAAATGTTTTTGTACATCTTACTGCTTTTTCATATTGTATTTTTTGATGGAACATGGAACCGCCATATATATTAAAATTAGACCTTACTAATTGAGAATTTATAAGAAAGTATTTTTCCCCATTTTTTAAATGATACTTTTTGAATTGTTCATTGAAACAAAAACTGGCAATAAGAGAATCGAATAGTTCATATTCTATGGGGCAGACATGGCTATGGAGTTATTAACTAGTCTATGCACTATTACGGCTACTTAGGACCACTCTATGCACTAGTCTAGTAAACCTACTCTATGGGCTAGCTATTGTCAAGTCTATGGACTAGTCTATAAACTAGTTGACTGACTATTCTATGAACTACTCTCTAGATTATATCATCATGAACTAATAATCTTACAAGTCTATGAAATATACATCGCATTAATCTATGGACTAGTTTATGGACAAGTCTATAGAGTAATCGATTGACTTATGTATGGACTACTTTCGAAAGTTTATAATAAAGAATCTAACTTAATATTTCGAGGGTGTACTTCGATAATTTTCGATGTCAAACATTATTGAAAAAAGTACAATAGTACTGAATTTTCCACATCTGTAATGAAACACAAATTTTCTAGTATTTTAACAAAATTTTCCTAAATATTAATTGAAGGGTTTGAACTTAAATGATATACAACCTTCAATAATTAAAAATTAATAAAAACAATCTTGGTTCAGCTGTTTCATCGGAATTTTAACTGGGGAAGTACATAGAAATTCGCTAAATTTTTAAAATTTTGTTTTGTATAATTTATTAACTTATTGTCTGAAAACACGTTTAAATCTTTCAAATGAAAAGAAATATATAAACAGTATTGTTTAAAAACAAAGCAACTTTATCTAAATTAACTTTCATCACTTTGTATAATATACTTTGTTCTAATAACCTTCACCTTGCTTACAGTCTCAGCTTGACAGTTGCTTAGGTTTTAAACAATACTGTAATTTTGGAAAAACAAAAACAGAAAATATTTGTCATACAAAATATTACCCAAAAATTAAAAGTTTAAGAACAATTCGAATCAAATGGAAAAGAAAAAATTATTACATTGAAAACATGTGTCATTTGTTAAAAACATATCTCACAAATAAACTTGAAAACAACAAAAACAAAACTAAGTATTATATAACTTTATATTATAAATATTAATACAATTAACTACTTAATACAGCTACTAAATAAATAATATTATTTTATTTTTTAATTAGTTAATGCATTGAAAACAAAACTGTATTTTATTAATTATGGATAATACAAAAATACTTAAATAAAAAGTTAAAAAACACGGTGCTACAAAGAAATATCAAACATTTAAGAGCACTTGCTAATGTTTAAAGTTCTAAAAAGTCGTTATTACGTCCTCTGACAGGCCTTTTACAAGGCAGTATTGAATTTATTTCTCTAATTTGTAGCACCGTGTAATAATTACGTAAAATCTTCTTCTAAAGAAATCTAATGGAATCTAATAAACTGTAAAATTTGTTACTTTAAACTGCTCCATATATAAAATTTTACGAATTTTCTCCCTTTTGCAAACTGTAAATTTTGAAATAATTTTTTTTTTTAATTTTCAACATTCCCACCGTTTGTTCTAATTATTTGTTATTATAGTTAACAGCTAAACTAATAAACAAATTTAAATGTTTATAAAAAAAAATGTAAACAAACAAACAACTTTTAAATGTAAATTGTACTTTGAGCTTATTTGTCTCGTATATTGCTTATAGTTTTAGTTATCTAAACTAAGTTTAAACTTTAGTTTTAATTGTTTAATATTGGAAAAAAAAAATATAAGAAAAATAAATGAAATGTAAACTATAATTTGCATTTATGGAATAAATTAATAGATCTCTTAATGTAAATGATAAGAATAAATAATTGATAAACAATTAATATAAAAATTAACAAATGAAAATAAATAAATAGTATAACTGTTGTACATGAACATTTTAAAAAAAGTAAAAATGCAGTTAATTTTGTTTAAATTCCATTCAAGGATAAGTATTCAAATGCAAAATGTGTTTCGATAAAAAATTAAATATTGCACTCAATTTTAAAACAAATCAAGGTTTAAACTGAAATAGAACAACTATATTGAACTTAACTAGAACTGAACTGGAACTGAACTAGAACTGAACTAGAACTGAACTAGAACTGAACTAGATGACTAGAACTGAACTAGAACTGAACTAGAACTGAACTAGAACTGAACTAGAACTGAACTAGAACTGAACTAGAACTGAACTAGAACTGAACTAGAACTGAACTAGAACTGAACTAGAACTGAACTAGAACTGAACTAGAACTGAACTAGAACTGAACTAGAACTGAACTAGAACTGAACTAGAACTGAACTAGAACTGAACTAGAACTGAACTAGAACTGAACTAGACTGAACTAGAACTGAACTAGAACTGAACTAGAACTGAACTAGAACTGAACTAGAACTGAACTAGAACTGAACTAGAACTGAACTAGAACTAGAACTGAACTAGAACTAAACTAGAACTGAACATGAACTGAACTTGAACTGAACTTGAACTGAACTTGAACTGAACTTGAACTGAACTTGAACTGAACTTGAACTGAACTTGAACTGAACTTGAACTGAACTAGAACTGAACTAGATATGAACTAGAACTGAACTAGAACTGAACTAGAACTGAACTAGAACTGAACTAGAACTGAACTAGAACTTAACTAGAACTTAACTAGAACTGAACTAGAACTGAACTAGAACTGAACTAGAACTGAACTAGAACTGAACTAACTGAACGAAACTGAACTAGAACTGAACTAGAACTGACTAGAACTGAACTAGAACTGAACTAGAACTGAACTAGAACTGAACTAGAACTGAACTAGAACTGAACTAGAACTGAACTAGAACTGAACTAGAACTGAACTAGAACTGAACTAGAACTGAACTAGAACTGAACTAGAACTGAACTAGAACTGAACTAGAACTGAACTAGAACTGAACTAGAACTGAACTAGAACTGAACTAGAACTGAACTAGAACTAGAACTGAACTAGAACTAACTAGAACTGAACATGAACTGAACTTGAACTGAACTTGAACTGAACTTGAACTGAACTTGAACTG